CACACACACACACACACACACACACTCACACACACAGCATGCTTTGCTGCAGGAGGTTATCTCCTGGTTAATGTGACAGTCTGTCCTCACTGCTTGTTAACTGCACAGATTATTATTGTGATAATGTGGGGATTATGGGGGGGTCCAGAGGCGTGTAGGTGTTCCTGATCAATACACAGAAACTGGGTGTTAATGAGACGTCATCAGCCTGCAGGACACCACCAWAGAACCAGTGTGGCTGCCTGATCTGTCCCAGAAACATTGTTTTTAGCATGTAGCATTTAGCTAAACTGATAACAGAATTCAWTCTTTCATCAGCTGMAGTGTTTCRTAGAAAAGACAACGTTTGTAACAGCTGTGGATTTTTATTCCAGGAAAAAAATAAAACAAAGATAAGATGAGTTATAACATGATTGTCTAGAAAATAATTAGCAAGTTATTATAAATAAATATATACGCATCATAAATCTATATTTTATTAATCAAAGAACCTGGCTTTAGTGCTCCTTCTGATCCTGGGTCTGGTCCCAGGTCTAATCCTGGTCCAGGTCTTTGTGAACTTAGCTGCATGGGCTCATTAGGACTTGTTGAACTCATTAAGACTCGTTGGGACTCATTGGGAATCGTTGGGACTCATTGGGACACATTAGAACTAGTTGGTACTTGTTGGGACTTATTGGGAATTGTTAGGACTTGTTGGGACTCATTGGGACTCGTTAGGTGTCATTGGGACACATTAGAACTAGTTGGTACTTGTTGGGACTTGTTGGGAATTATTAGGACTTGTTAGGACTCATTGGGACTCGTTAGGTGTCATTGGGAAACATTAGGAATTGTTGGTACTTGTTAGGACTTGTTAGGACTCATTAGGACTTGTTAGGACTTGTTGGGACTCTTTAGGACTTGTTAGGACTCATTAAGACATAGGATTCGTTAGGACTTGTTGGGACTTGTTAGGACTTGTTAAGACTTGTTAGGATTCGTTAGGACTTGTTAGGATTCGTTAAGACTTGTTAGGATTCGTTAGGACTTGTTAGGACTCGTTAAGACTTGTTAGGATTCGTTAGGACTTGTTAGGATTCGTTAGGACTTGTTGGGACTCATTAGGTGTCATTGGGACACATTAGGAATTATTGGTACTTGTTAGGACTCATTAGGACTTGTTAGGACTTGTTGGGACTCTTTAGGACTTGTTAGGATTCGTTAGGACTCGTTGGGACTCATTGGGACTTGTTGGGACTCGTTAGGACTCATTGGGACTCGTTAGAACTTATTGGGACTTGTTGGGACTTGGGACTCGTTAGGACTCATTGGGACTCGTTAAGACTGTTGGGACTCATTAGGACTTGTTGGGACTCGTTGAGACTTTTTAGGACTCATTGGGACTCGTTGGGTCTCGTTAGAACTGTTGGTACACGTTAGGACTTGTTGGGTCTCGTTGGGACTCTTTAGGACTCTTTGGGACTCATTAGGACTCGTTAGGACTGTTAGGACTCATTGGGACTCTTTGGGACACTTTTAGGACTCGTTAGGACTCATTGGGACTCGTTAGGACTTGTTGGAACTCGTTAGGACTCGTTGGGACTCGGAGACTCACCTGCTTCCTGTTTTTCTTTTCTTCCAGATTCTTCTTGAAGTTTTTCCTGAAATGCAACCAGAACTGTTTGAAGAACGCAGGAAACCCTCGAGACATGAGACGGTTCCAGGTAAGACCTCGACCCGTCCCAGGTCCTGGACTAGTCTGGAACAGAGCGGGTCTCATGATGATGATGATGATGATGATGATGATGTCGTCCCCTCAGGTGGTGGTGTCCACCACGGTCAACGTGGACGGTCACGTGTTGGCGGTGTCAGACAACATGTTCGTCCACAACAACTCCAAACATGGCCGCCGCGCTCGGCGCCTGGACCCGTCCGAAGGTAAGCCGCCGGTCCCTGAACTCGGATCAGAACCTGACCGTTTCCATTTAAACAAGGTGACGTCAGGAGCGCCGCGGCCCTAAAGGGCGCCGGCTCAGGTCTGGTTTCAGGTCGATCCGGTCTCGCTGCTGTGCTAAAGTTCTGGACCGGACCCGTTCCAGGTTTAATCTGAGCGTGAAGCTCGGAGCCGTGTTCCTGCCGGAGCTTCAGGAGGAACAATCGCTCCGTTCTTCCAGGGTCCAAACGGAACGCTTCGGCCCAATATAAAGTTAAGAGCTGCAGCGCCGCCGCTCCGTTTCCTCTGAAGCTGTAAACTTTAAGAGCACTCTGTTCTGACCCGGACTCGTAAACCCACCTCACCACAGCCACGACACAAAGCACTCGCTTGATTCGGCGGACTCGGCGTGCCAGGAGGGAGGAGCTTAACATCGAATCAGAACTGAGGGTCTGAAACTGTTTGATTTGTCTYACCTGGAACACTTCAGGTGGGTGGAGTCAGACATTTAGAGAAACTTCCTGACCTGTAACTTCCTTACCTTTAATAGACTCCACCCGTCTGACATGTCCAGGTGAGATAAACAAACCTTTAAAATCGCCCACCTCATCCTGCTGTCACTTTGATTTATCTCACTGTGAAAACCAGACGGGTGGAGCTTGTCTTATCTGCAGCTTCAGGATCAAAGAACAGGTCACAGAAAAATACACAAACTGGACTTCTTGAACACTCCCAGGTAGACCCCGCCCCTCTGGGACACAAAGAAAAGTAAAACAAACTCAGACTCTGAGTTGTCTCGGCTCGTCTCAGCAGCTGAAGCCATTTGTCTCATTTGGTTTAACCTACTTGCAGCAGCAGACGGGTGGTGTTTATGACCTGAGAAGGTAGTTGATCAAAGGAGGAGGTGTTCTCCTGTGGTGCAGCAGGAGTCTGTCCCCACCTGTCTGCTCCGTCCCGAGCCTTAAATCAAACGCTGACACTAATCTGTCAGAGTCCACATCAGACCGGCTCTGCCTGAGACGTTAAAGTTTATCAAGCCTCTTCAGCATTCATGAGCCACAGCGCTGCGAGCCCGGGTCCTGCAGGAGCCAAACGGGCCCGTTGTTTACCAGCCGGTCCGGTATCAGAGGGAGACCCGGGTCTTTCATCTCTTCCAGGACTGGGATGTTTTCAGAGGCGATAAAAGAGCCGACATCTGCTCCTGCCTTTGTCGCCAGCCCTCAGCCTCCCGTCTCTGAGATAAAACTTTCCACCGCCTGCTCCGGGTCTTTGTGCTGCATTCATGTGATTAGAACCTCCCACCTCCCTCCAGAACCCCTTCAGACCCCCCCGGACCCTCAGGACCGTTTGTTTACCGCTGCAACAAAAGAGGGAAATTAATAAGAAGACGACAATCAGCTCCTCGGAGCGGGAGAACATCTCGACCCGCCGCAGCAGCTGCAGGCTTTCTTTCAGGACCAGATGGGTCCGGCGAGGAACCAAAGTTTAGTCTTTGAAGGTCCCCTGAAGGACCGGCTCCACGGTCCAAGTCCTGAAAGTTCTGAAAGTTCTGAAAGTTCTGCTCCGTGTTCCAGCTAGCAGTGTTGGACAGAAACTTTCCTGGAGACTTGGAACAGAAACTGTTTCCTGTCGTCCAGAACAAAACAAAGATGAATCAGGTGAATTCTTCAGTCTCACCTGGAGCTCATTTCATCTACTAGACCAGGGGTCTGCAACCTGTGGCTCTGGGGCCACATGTGGTTCTTTAGACCCTCTGCAGTGGCTCTTTGGAAATGTGACCAAACATAACAGAATAATTTTTTTGTTTGTTTTTATACCCACAACAGAAATCTATTTGTAAACAAATACGTGATCAATACTACTAATGCAAAAAGTAAAACATGTTAGCTCATGCTAGCCTGTTGTTTACTTAAATAATCCAACTTCTTTTTGTGATCTTTCTCTCAAATCCATCAGAATTACCTTTAAAGAATTTGAAAACTACATAATAATTAGAAAATATACTGTATATACCTGAATAATTCAGTTGAACTAGTTTTTATGAAATTCAGTATAAACTATAAACAGTATTGTTCTTGTTTACATGAATCGGGTCTTTTCATTTGTCCTGATGTGCAAAAATAATAATAAATAGTGAAATTCACAATATATTTTTTAGTTTTATAATGTCACCTCCACTGACTGTTAAGGTTCCTGAAAAGGCCCACGGACCAGCAGTTGATAATCACAGTTGTAGCTTGTTTTGTGGCTCTGAACACATTTTATCAGWGAGACAAGGAGCAGAAATGGCTGTTTTGATCCTAAAGGATGCAGACTCCTGAACTAGAACAGCTTTAGAAATAAAGATCTGGACCGTTTGGTTCACTCAGATCTGGACCAGAACCGTCCTAAAGTCCTGAGTTTTAAAGGGTCTGTGACATCATGAAATACAAAAAGTCAAAGAAAATAAATTTATATTTAAGAAACTTGGTATAATACACATGATTTGACCCGTTATGTCACATAACTGGTATATTTTCTTTTGAACTTTGCTCAGCTGAAGTGAAACAGGAAGTGACATCAGAGGGGAACTCTGAGAAAGAAAACTCTGGTTTTTGTTTATTGAAACAATATTATTTGAACTCTGACTCTACATCATCTCTATGATAGAGATTAAAATAATCTAAAGAAACATCAGATTCTTCTCTACAGTCTGTGCTTTCAGCCATTTTAGCAACACTGTTTACGTTCAGACATTCCTCTGTGACATCACTTCCTGTTTCTTCACATGTGAATATCTCAACAACTGTTCATCTCAGCGACATGAAAACTTTTTTACATCATGTTATCAGTGTTGTCTTTCCAGAAATACATTCATATTTATTATAAAGTTTTGATGTCACAGGCACTTTAAATCGTTTCTTCCTCCCTTTAATCTGAGGAACCGGATCAATCAGAACCAGTGTGCTCCATTAACTGGCTCCTCATTAATAATGATCAGAACCGGAGCCTCTGGACGCGGCGGTATGGATCCATCTCGCCGTGAACACCGGGAAATACCGGAGCTCTGACTGGAACGTGGGATCAGCGGCTCCGCTCCGGGAACAGAACCGGCCCGTTTCCTCGCAGCTCCGAGTCCGTCTGCCTGCCTCAGACTGATCCTGATTATTGATCTGGAACAAAACCATCCAGTCTCTGAGGGGGCGGGGGAGGGGGTGGGGTCAAAGGTCAGAGCGGCCAGTTCTGCAGCAAGACTCAATGTTTGATCTAAAACCGTTTGTATTAATCTGATCATTGATTGTGTCTGATGTTTGTTTGTTTACATTGCTTGTTTACATTGTTTGTTTGTGTTGTTTGTTTACGTTGTGTGTTTCCGTTGTTGACCTCCCGGCTCACGCTGCCCTCGTGTCTCCGTGTCTCCGAAGCAGCCACGCCCTGCATCAAAGCCATCAGTCCGAGCGAAGGCTGGACGACCGGCGGCGCCACCGTCATCCTCATCGGGGACAACTTCTTCGACGGGCTGCAGGTGGTCTTCGGCACCATGCTGGTCTGGAGCGAGGTCAGAGAAAACTCTGTAGTCTGTCTGCTTGTTGTTCTCCTACAAACAGGAAGTGAAGGGTTGTGGGTCGCTGCGCCGCATCAGAACCTGGATGTGGATCTGGACTCAGATCAGAACCTGAGTCAGATGACTTCATCTTGTTTTTATTATTTTATTTTATTATAAGTTTTAGTC